AACCTCCACCCAACCTTGACAGCAGGAGGGTTTGTCAGCCTTTTAACCATGTTAAAATAAAGCATAAGCATTCTTTATAGTCTTGCTGAGGATCAAGGAATAATATTCTTTTGCATTTTTTTTGTTTTGAATTGTATCTATGACTTTATCTAGATGTTACAGTGAATCTGGAGACCAGACTTTTTTTCAACACTCCCTTTTTTAACTTCTTCACTGAGGCTTTAACAACCTTCACTTTGAGTGGAGAAATTTGAATCAATGATGTCAGGCATTTTTTAAACAAAGTGGTTGAATGGTTCAGCAGCATCATCCATAAAGATGACTTTTCTTATTATATCTCTTTGACTAACCAATTCATTTTAAACCATGCTTTCTAAAGTAACAGAGAAGTGGTCAGACAGGCCAACATCAGTTACAGACACTTTGGAAATGTTTAGACTCTACGGTAGTTAAATATGGAAATCCTCAGGGTTGTCCAGTGGAATGTTGAAGTCTCACACAATAACAGCTGTAATAAACACATATCACAGGAGCATGGTATTTGACTGAGAGGCGAGCATTTAAATGAAAGTTTGCACAGAAGCACCTTTTTTTTCACTGTAGTGAATCATTAAACAAAACAGCCACTAATCCACATGTCCTTTGCTATCTGCTCTCATAATAAAAAGCCTGGAGGCGTCCGCTCTATCAGGACAGGTTCTTTATTCATTTCATGCAACCATGTTTCAGTTCAACTACAACCCTAATAATATGATTAAGGTGAGGAATTAAATCAGGATATAAAAATTAATGTCATCTAAGGTTTGGTGGTTGATATGAGCTCTTTAGGTGGTTTCTTTAGACAGTTTATGACTTGTTTTTATTATCCTTTTAGGCTCGTTCCCTCTGCCCTGTAGTGGCACACAGATTTCGCAACCATTTCCCATCAGGGGCCCAGACCCTTCCAGGAAATGATCACTTCTGATTGAGAAATGATACACAATGATGCTATTTAGTAATAACTGATACCATATTCAATAATTGCAACTCATAATCCATGTTTCCCAGCAAATAGAGAGCAGGAATCATCCATGAAACAGGTCCTTGTCTTAACATGTAAAAAACCAGTTTCTAAACAGCACATGTTTAAACTCAGCCTGGACTTCCCCATTATTTCAATCCTCTAAAGAATGAGTCAACCTAAGCTTCCAGACAGATTTAAGGAAAATGTTTTAATGGTTTTTAAAGCTTATTTCAAATAGTAATTCCCATTCCTTCACAGTGCAGTCTGGTTTGTTTTTCCACCAAATTGTTGCTAACAAACAGCCTTTCTATCTCTATTTTTGCTGAGCTGATGTCGGTTAAACAGCTGTCAGCGCTCATAACATAATAATAATAAGAGGAAAATCGGTTATAACACGGTAATAAATAGGAAAATCAACGGTTCAGCCCCATATTTATTCAATAAGCCGCCGCCGCGGTGACAGAAATGTGAAAGTAAAGATGCTGACCTTATCTCGTCCATTTCCCTGTGGAAGAACCGGGAGGTTACATTCCTGCTACCTGTTCAAGCTTCAAGCTCTCCTGCTGCTTCAACATCCACTGGAAAACTCTTCTTTAAAGGTTTCGCTTTTGTGTTTGTCCTTCCTCTGCAGCTCACAGCTGCTGCTGCCCTCTAGAGGACAAACTAAAGAAGTGCATTTTCTATGAGAGGCATTTTTTTTTAAAGTGAATTGAACCCTTTTTAAAACAAGTTACCATTTTTGAACATTTGCCTTAGAAACACAAGATCTACACTGTGTGCAGAATTATTAGGCAAGTTGAATTTTTGATGATTATTTTTATTATTGGGCCACAATTGTGTTCTCAATCAACCCAAAAGACTCCTTAATATCAAAGTTT